ATCATCACGGTTGACAAAGATGCACCAAGATTGGTCTTCCCACAACTGACACAGTACCCCTCAGTTCCCAAGCTGGATGAGCAATGGGCGGATTTTACTCCTCCCTCGCCAAAACCCTTCTGGTTGGGACGGCCTATTGGACCGAAGGAAATCCAATATGCAGAATGGTGTCATCAAGCAGAACAATATGTGCTCCAACGGCTACATGAGCCAAAGCAAGGCAGAGGAGGGTATTTGGCACTGGAGAACAAGCCGCTTCCTTTGTCTAAGCCACTTGCACCATGGAAGAAAGGAGATCTTGCATATTGGGGTCAGTTCAGCTCTCTACTCCATCATGTGGCAAGCAAGCCTTCCATGTCAGCTGGCACTATGGATCATCTCCGGGCTAAGACGGCTGACCTGCATGTGAGATGGCAAAATGTCCATGGATTGGAAGATTTCCAAACTGGCCTTGAGGCACTGACACGGCCCCAATCACGACTGCAATAAAGACTACGCCAAGAAGCTGGCAATGGAGCAACAAGCGCATGACTATCAGCAGTGGCTGTCACAGGCAAAGTTGAAAGGGCACTGTGGCATCTGCAAATGTCTTAAGGCACCTGACAGCGTCCATGTGAGGCCTTTCCGTGATGTGCCCATCCAACAGAGGCAGGCCAGGAGGGAGCAACAGTGGTATAGCAAGTGGAAGGTTGTCGACAGCCCCCGGCCCAATGGTGAGAGAGAAAGGTTGAGGTATGAAGGCATTGTTCAAGCTAGAGGATGGGAAGACCTGGATCCTCATGTGGTTATGAAGAAGCTGCAAAGGTTACCACAAAAGGCCTGTGGACCAGACGGCATCAGCTACTCCATGCTGAAAAATCTGCCCATTGAAGGTGTCATTGAACTATGCCACATGCTGAGAACGTGGGAACTTGCGGGAAGGTTGCCTGACCAGGTATGTACAACATTGGTGTCGCTGCTCCCAAAGAAAGTTGACATTGAGAGGCCAATCTCATTGACAAGTGTGATGTACCGCACATGGTTCAAACTTCGTTGGGACAAGCTGAGACATTGGCAGAATAGCATTGGTCAACGTTTGCCCTGGGAGCGCAGTCTACCTGGTACACAGGTTTTGCAAGTTGCCCTTATGCGTCTGTTGAAGTGCGAGGTTGGGCGTGCAACAGGCAGACAGGTGGTGTCACTCCTGATCGACCTGCAGAGCTTTTACGATGCAGTTATGCTGGAACAGCTTTTGCATCTTTGTGAACCGTTGGATTTCCCGCCAGCTGTGTTGAACATGGTCTATGAAGTATATAGCGGACCACGGCTGCTGCAGGCTGAGGGTGTGACATCATCATCAGTCCATTGTGAGAGGGGAATGTTAGCCGGATGCCCGGCAGCTCCGCTTGTTGCTAAGCTCATCTTAGCCCCGGTCCTTCAGAGCTTCCAAGCAAAGTATCCTCGAGCCACTGTGGATGTGTGGGTAGATGACATCTCCATGGACTTCACTGGGGAGGATGCACATGTGGTGAGCAAAGAGGCACTGGCAGGTTTTGATGACATCAAGCAGGGTCTGGAGAGTGTTGGGTTGCAGCTATCCGCCAGCAAGACGGGGTTCCTCACTTCGACCGTGGAGGCCAAGGAATCCATCAACCTGCACAGGTCGGAGCATCAACCAAAGGCTCATGACCTTTTGAAGGATTTAGGCCTGGACTCGAGTGGGGGCAGGAGACGCCGCATTGGCACCTTGCAGAAGCGAATGTTGAAGGGAAGTGGAAGGCAGTCCAAATTGCTGCACTTGAAGCTCAGGTCAAGGCCAGTGAGGATTAGAGTCTGGAAAACATCCATTCACTCTGTAGTTGGATTTGGCGTTGAAGCACAGGGGCTGGCACCACAAAGGATGCGGACGTTGCGTCAACAACTTGCACGACATGGAGGTCTTCAGAAGAAAGGTAGTGTTGACATTGTCTTTGATAACATGGGCGCCTGCAGGACCCTCAAGACACTGCTGTGGAGCGCCAGCTCAAAGCCATGCACCATGGTTAGAGCCTGGCCTGAGAAGCAGAAAGGTGAACTCATGCCGGCATGGCGTGTCTCGTGGAGACGTCTTCAAGCAGCAGCCCACCCGTGGATGGTGGTGGCTGGACCCATGGCTGCATTGCAGGTCTATCTCGTGCAGATGGGGTGGGATGCATCAGTGCTAGATGCATCGAGTTTTGGATGTGCAAGGTGCTGGTGCAAGTTACCCCTCAGGTGCAGTAAAGCGGCTCTGGAGCACATGACAGCATCGAAGTGCACCTACGGGCAGCTGGCTGAGTTTGAGATGCAGCTGAGGACTCGGGTGCATACCTCCGACCAGCTGGTGTGGCGGAGAGGCAGTTGGCTTGAATGTCGTGGTTGCAAGAAGATCTCGCGTGAGCAAGATGGCAGAGTCCAAGCCTGGTTGTCCCAGGTGTGCCAGACCAAGAAGGGACAGCAGGTACTAGCTTTCGGCCCCAAGAGCTCAAGCAGCGAGACTTGAAGTGAACAGGTGGCATTTTGTTGAGCAATCTGCAAGGCGAATGATCCTTGGATTGCGGTCTTGAAGGCCATTTTTGCCATGAAGGTGTGGCCTTGTGAGCCGGCGTGACAGAAAAAAACCGAGAAAAAAAAGAGAGAGAGAGAGAGGGGGGGGGGACTGACTCTTGAGGCGGCCACACATGAAGTGCCAGATGCCCAAAGGCCGCCAAAGACACATCCCAAACACTCCATGTATGGAATATTTACTTGCAATGCATTGACTCCACCGCTAGGTGGGCAAACATGCGAGAGAGAGAGTCCCAGACGTGTTGGGGCATAGCATCCTCGTGATGGGCGTGAGATCTGAGGCGACCTGACGAGTGCGATCTCGGGGAGCGATGTGCAAGGAGCGCAGCATGGGGTGCAGGAGGCAGCGCAAGAGGAGCAAGAGGAGGTTCAGAGGCCACAGGGCAGAATTGGGCCGCTGTCCATGAAGCTTGGGTGGCAAGTTGCTGCAAACTCCCACCTTTGGGAAGCAGGTGTGAGTGTGTGTGTGTGTGCAGTAGCTGAGGTACACAACGCAATATTGTTTGTTTATCTGTGCCCCATGGGCAACTTTAGGTCCTGAAACATCCTGAAACTACGTGAAGAGTCGCCACTCTGGACCGTCACATCGCCTAGGATCGGCTTTTTGCTTCTTCTCATTTGCGTGCCCGGTTTGTGTTGCTGGTTCTGTTGGATCAAAGCACCTTGGCCCGACTAGAAGTTGCGACTGGAAGCCGCAGGAAGTCGTGCGGATGTGTTTGATGTTCAGTATAGTAATTACGTGTGCGATGTTCGATGCTTCTGGAAGGAGAGCGGGCCCTTTTGTGGCCCCTTACCAGGGCTGCCTGAACCATTTATATTGATTTCGAGGCTCCAGTGCCTATCGTGAGTCTCTTTGACAGAAACCGGTCCTTGCCTTTGATGCAGTTTGCAGGGTGTTCGTAAGGACCACCCCAGGCTGATTGTCCTGTTGGCGAGCAGTTGGTTGAGGCTGACATCTTTCAAAAAAACACTCCACTGATCACTGATCCATCAAATCCCGATCCATCAAATCCCATTTTCCTCGAGCCTGCCCAGCCGAACACACCAACCTCCACCGAACGGTGACCGGCCGGGGCCAGGGGACCACGGCGGGACGTCCCACGTCGCGAGATGTCGCGAGGTCTTGAACAAAGGAGACCGCAGCAAAGCCAGATCACTACCTGAAATTGTGCCTGGGCGATGTGAATATAACCCCCTCGATGGCACCAGGGAGTCATGGTGCGTGCCGCTGGTGTGTTGGTTTTGCTTTGTCATGACTGTATGCGTTACTGTAAATATTGATGGTGGTGGCACCAGCTCACACAGTTCCACTGACACAGAAAGCCGGAGGAGGTGTTTGCACCGCCCTGAGGGCAGTTCTTGATACTTGGGGAAGGAGGAGGCACTTCTGATTCTTGTGTGTATTGGTTGATGGGGACAGGAGGGTATATCTAACCGATCTAACAAGATCTAACAAGTATAAGCCCTAGAGCTAGAAATTCTGGGTGCTCGTGGCAACTGGGATCCATGGGGGTGTATCAGGTATATTCAGTTACATTCCTCAGTTTGTTGCGGTACATGTCACTGCTAACCACAGCAATGGCATTGACCAATGGAAGCTTCATCTCCTACAGGCAACAGACAATGTCATGCCCAGAAGCAAGAGTAAACAAGAATTAGCTGCGGGGAAGGTTTCGTAAGATGTCGTGCCCGAACCTAAATCGCAGGCGACCTCTAATGATGTTTGGTATGACTTTTGCGGTGCCATGCAGAAAGGCAACCTAGGCAGGACTTAGGCATGACTTAGTGTTTCCCCTGTAGTCACTAGTAAACCGCCACTGCCCCGGACATCCTGTCAGCTCAGCGCGTCTTGTCACGTGGTTCCAGTGATCGAGTTGGACCCGGGAGAAGTTCGGCCCGAGTCGTCCGGACGAAACGGAAGAGAGTGGCCATCCCTGGCCCATCATTGGGAATGGATTCGATGATCAGATGGATTATCTGTGACCAGATTATCTATGATGGATGATCTAGTTGGATGTGGAACGGGTTCAATGTGAAGGATTATCTATGATCAGATGGATTGAATGTAGGGATGCGCGGGTCAGCCTCGTGATCGTGGTCGGGGTGATTGCATCCCTTCGATCAATTGGCCCCGGATCAGCGGGGGCTGTTGATCATTGGGGTTATCCTCGGATCAGGGTTGGGGGTGCAAAATTACGCTCACCATTGAGGCTCACCATTGGTATCCTCGTGCCGTTAACCCGCGGAAGATCACGGACGGCCGCCTGCGCAAGCGAGCTGAGTCAGCACGACCCAGACCCAGTAATTATAGATGAATGCTGCTTCCCTCCACAAGGGCTTCAGTGGGTTACGGTTCTCCCTCCCCTCTCAGCGCCCCCCCAAACGACCCGCCCGACTCGCGCTGAGCCAGTTGAACCGTCCCCGCTGAGGTGGACATGGAATCGGTGAGCGGGGTCAGCACCCGAACGGAGCCCACCGTCAGCCAAGCCGAATCCTCCGCCTGCCAGGCCCGTCGCCGGGACGTGACACGTCGCTTCGTCACGTGATGCCACGCGGGTCGGAGATGCCCCGAGGTCCCATCTGGGATTGAAATGGACTGGAAGAGTTACATACATACCAGATGTCACTCATGAACATGATCCAATATGCGTATATATATAAGCATTCCATAGATGGCCCGGGGAATGTCAAACAAAAACCTGAGCACCCAATTGGTGATTCAACAAAATCAAGAACCTGTCCTTTGTCCGCGATACCCACACCACTCTAATCTTAGGGTTTGACATGCGTTTCATCAATCACAGCGACCCAACATCTCAAAGAAATGTGTGTCCTCATTCTAGTGAGGCTGCTGGTGCAACAAAACAATTAATGAAAGTGAGAGAGAGAGAGAGTTACTACAGTTCCTGCCTGTTTGTTTCAACCATTCGAGGTTGTCCCTCGCCTTTCCCTGAGGTGCAATCCGAGGACCTCTTTGCCACGCGCGAGCTCAAGGAGCATGATGGCCCCGTGAACTCGGTGGGTTGCTGTCCCCAGGTGTGTCCGCAACAAAATGGGGAGGTGGTCCGCACGCAAGTGAGTGTCCACAACACGCGGCTGTGGCCGCAGCAGGGGAATGTGATGGCCCTTTAAGGCCCGGCCGCAGAGGGCGAGGGAAAATGGGGGAACCCCCAACTCATCCTGGGAGCTCAGAAGCTTCATCAACGGATGTATGTGTTTTTGATCAATTCTGGTGAAAAGGGGGTCCCCCATTTTGAGAGCCCCAGAAGATCCCAGAAGTTACCAAGTTTGCATGTTGCATGTGGTGCCGGAAGGCAGTTTTTGAAGAACAGAGGTACGAGAGACGAGTCGTATAGTCGTATAGTTGATTCAACAGAATGGCCGTTTGCCAGTTCGCACCAAAATCTTTGGCCAACTCTGGCCGAATTCGAGCTTCGCCAGTGCCCTCGTTGCAGCATTCATTTGAAGTGCTACCCACGGTCACTTGAACTGCTGCTACAGGAGGGAGGGGGGCGCGTCATGTCATAGAACCATAGATGTCAATGCCACACAAGTTTGCCCACCGGATCAAACCAGAAGTAAAGAGAGAGTCCCCGAAGAGGGCTGGCACGGGTCAGGCGCGGCAACGTAGGACAGGTGATCATTATGTGCAAAGGACCGGTTTTGTCACAACGACTAGGTCGGCTTGGTTTCGACGGGCGTTGGAACAACGCTGGCCGTCAGCCAAGCAGTCTAGATCTATTATGTAGGCTCTCACCTCTGAGCACAAAAGCTGCTCCCCGTTCCTGACCCAGGGCGGTGTTTAGTATTCGCACACTAGACAGGTCATGGCCACCTGGAGAACAGTGGGAGCAAGCAGCTTCGGTTTAGTCTCATTCGGCACCAGAGGGTTTTCATCCTGCACCACTCACCTGAAATGTTATCCTTTTTAGCGCGAATGAATAGAACGGCGAATTCCTGCGATTCGTGCGATTCGTATCATCAGAGTGAACCTTCTTTGATTCTAGCATGTCTTGTTTCGCACTGTTTCCCTCTGTGGTTTCTTGTGAGAGTCGGGTGTTTTTCTTTGGAGCCGTGCTTTGGGCCTCCAAACGGACGGTTGCCAGATGTCCTTGGCGGTTCAGGCGTTGCGCTATGACAGTCGTCTCAATGCGCGGCGTGCAGAGCTGAGAGGGGGCCATGGAGGACATCACCCACATGGCTGGGCCGTTCTTTTGGAGTGGCAAAGTCATGCCTGCGTTCAGTGCATCGGAACATCCACAACGGAGGTAAATCCTAAGGGCATAGAATAGTCATCTAATGTCATCTAGAGATATATCATGCGAGAAACTTGACATGGCCAAGAGAAACGGATGAGCAAATCCATGCTGCACATGGCGACCCCGGGTCACGGTCGTCGCACAAAGGGTCGGACGAACGAATTCCGGTCGAAAGACTGAGATGCGAAGGACAGTCACGGACTCAAGCAATGTCAAGCATGGAGCATGCCACGACATATTGCAGTAAGTCCGGAGTATGGATCCTCAAGGTACCCAATGAGGGGTTAAGATCCTAGTGGGGCGATGTGAAGATCTATGTGTGAACCACATCCTCCCAATTGAAGGGACTTACCTTCCAAACGTCCAAACCTCTTCGGAGGTCATGTGGATCCACTGCAACCAGCAGACGCCACCGGCGAAACCGGTCGGTTCCCGACCACCCGAGTCGGTGCAGCTGATCCCTAGGGATCCGGTCGTAGCTCCTCAGGTACGACTGGACCCGAACATGGCACCCACCCCCGTCCCACTGAAACGAAACGAGGGTACGGCAGGATCCTTAAGGGATGTAAGACCCAAGGTGCCAGTGTGGGCCGCTTTCTTTGTTTTGGCACATGTGATCTTAAGGGGATTTGGGATGGCAGCCTACTGTAGCATTGAATGTTGTGGAAGAAGCATGAAGAAGCCGCGTCCACAAGATCGGACTCTGGCACATGTTACGTGAACTTCAAGGGGATTTGGGATGGCCACGTCCACTGAATGTTGGAAGAAGCCACGTCCATGTTCGTCCGATCGGACCAGTCCAAGGTGCCAGTGGAGCCGTCGGCCGCTTGGCAGCTGCTGAGGCAGCCAAGTAGAATCAACAGCCTGAATTCCAAGTCTTTCTCAATATTGGGTGGACTCTGTAGATTTTGAAGTCTCCCAAAAACAGGATTGGATGATCTACCCGCTACCCATTTCCAGCAGCTTTTTGGGCGGAGAACGGAGACTCCGAAGACTCGAAGGCGGTCTCAGGATCCAGGAGATGCCGGACACACATGTATGGACATATAGCATATATATTAAGCGAATGAAATATAACATATTGTATGATAGATAGACAGTGATAGACAGATATGTACATAATAGTATGTGTAATCTATTACTATGCCAGGGCCCCCTATAAGGGGTGTCAAACAATAGCACCCGAAAGAGGTAGAGGAGTGTCCATTAACCGCCCTTTCGGGGGCCCTGGTATGATTATAAATGCCTGTATTGAAGGCTACATTGGCTTCTGAAACCGCCTCAATGTGCCAGAAGCGGTGGCCGATGCAGGCGATGGAACAGCGCACGGGTCGCTTGGAGCACGAGGTGGCTGACCTTCAGCAGCAGCTTCGGCTGGCGCTGGACCAGGCGCTGTGTCAAGATGACGGTGTTGAACATGTGGAGTGTGGGTACGATCACTTGGAAGATCTTGGAAGAATGGTGTAGGTGGAGATATTGTGGAGATGATAGAACTGAGTCAATCAACTTAGGGACGTAGGCTTAGGCATGCTTAGGCCAAATCGTTCTCTAATCCAACTCACTTGGGAAATCCTGTTGCCCTTGAGGGTGCAGAGCTGCGCGTGAAGCACCAGCCACTCGACTGCATCGTGTTCCTTCTTCCCAGCTCACTGGGTCAAACGCACGATTGCGAGAGGCTGCCCAAGCTGGGTCGAACGAGATGGGAGAGGCAGACCACAAGCCATTTCGGTCCGGGAAGATGAAAGAATTCGAAGGTTGCTCCGTTTGATTTTGTGGACCATGGACTAAACAATTAAGAAGACCGTTTCCACAGACGGTCACCAATGAGAAGAGTAGAGCACCACCCTTCTAGAATGGCATGATCCATAAGCCATAAGCACATGATGAGGGGTCTTTATCAACCACCCTTCGGATGGTAGCTGGTACTGTACAGGCCTTTCTGGGTCAGCTCACAGGTGGTTCCCTTGTTCCCTGGTTCCCCCGTCGTGTGAGGCGCTCAGAGGAAGCGGAGCAGCATGCAGTGCTGCGGGCGGGCGAGGTTGGGGGTGTCCGCCTGTCAGAAAGGAAGACCGTGACCTTAAACATCCTAAAGCAGGTGTCAGCGGAGATCTAAGATGACATTAGCACATCAATGTCAATATATATTTGGATAGCATTATGCTGCATCATTTGTGTGTTCCAATATTCATGGGTGTGGTTGCTTTGGGTGTGGGTGTCATCCTGTGAGGTTGGCACATGTTTGCAACTCCTTTGCACTACCCTGCAGACAAGCCATGCAATTCCAGAATAAGTCGAGCAAACTAAGTAAAAGCCCCTAACTCAAGTATGACTACTGTATTCATCCAGGAACCAAATGAATTTGAAGCGTGAGCTATCCTGCGTCCTAGCTAGTAGCTTAAGTCGCTAGGAGCGCACTTCTCCCTTACTTCATTCTAGGTCCGGCGCCTGCTTAAAACCAGTAGGGGAAGGCGGGCAGGCTTTTTTCAACGACCGAATTGGCAGCGAGCTTTGTGAGACGAGACGACCGAGACGATGACGAGGTGCTCGGAGAGCTGAAGGCCTCGGAGGCCATGAGTTCCGGGCAACAAGCACGCTTGAAAGACCTAGAGGTGCTTCGGTTTTCTCGTGAGGGGTCGTTTGGGGTCACGGGGACGGTTTGGGTGGCGACCTGTTGGGTCTCAAGATGGTGTGAAAAAAACACCAGATCCAATGGCAATCACCTGTCCGGACGGGGTCCGTACCACATACTTTACGGTTTGTGATGTTTTGTCAGTGTTGTTTTTTTTAGTTTTTGTTTTGTGCAGGTTTGGGCTGTCGGACATGGAAGTGTGTATTGATTGGTCCAGAAGTATGACGTGGCATGTGTTTGCTTATTTTTTTGATTGCTCAGGATCAACCATTCTGGAACATGCTCAAGCAGGGGTTTCTCTCTTCTTCTGGTTCAAATTACCGGTGGGTGACAAGTTTTGGAGATGTGTATGTGCAGCCCCGGTTATTCTAGTTGAGTGAGGCAGCAAGAGAATGAGTTCAGGGCTGAGGGGCATCCAAATCTCAGTGACTAATAGAGTTGACCTCGAAGTGGTTGCAAGGAGGACTTGCCATCCCAAAGCGGGCGCCCTTCGTTTCTGAGCTTCCTGTTTGGCACAGAAACGCAGCATGGGAAGCACGTCCGCAATCTGCATTGACCACCGGTACACCTCAATTCACCGGGGAGTCGGCAGATCCGCTCCACAGCCCAGGTCCAGCTCCTTTCGGCCCGTGATTCCTTGGCGCAGGCGGAAGTGGGGGAGGCGAAGAGTTCGGAGAAACAGACGTCATATGACGTCATCAGGGCTTGTAATGTAGACTCTTGATGAATAAACCGTTCCATTTGAACTGGAAATGCTTTTCATATGGGGGGTTTATTAATCAAGAGCCTACATTAGAACCAAATGGGCAGATCATCAACGCATCTTTGTTTTGGGTCTTCCGTGTGCATCAATGTTTGCACGCATGGAGAGGTAGACACACAGCGCGATGACATAGTTCTACCCACGACCCACTGGAAAATCTTTTCAATAGATCTAAACTTTAAATTAACGCAGACCTTCGGACCGGGTGGACCACTGAGATAAGACATGTTCGTTTCTAAGTCTTAATTTTTTTGGACATGACCTGTTTGCGTGAGGCCGAGCATGACCGCGCCAACCACAGCAGTTGGACTCAGCGATTGGGCCACGAGTTGGCCGATGCCCGCGCCAACGAGCAGGAGGTGCCAGCGTGTTTACTTCGTTTGGGATTGCTTTGGATCTTTGGTCCAACAACTAACTCCAACCGAAAAGATCAAACCAGGGCTTGCCGCAGCACATGCATCCACATTCCGCCAAACAACGCCCATCATCCACTCGTCCTTGCCCCCAGCCTCTTCGTTTTCCCCGCGCCCATCAGGCACGGCTGCGGGAGGCACAACAGGGGCAGGAGCTGCGAGACGCCCAGCGGCGCTTGGAGCAGCTGGTCGGAGGTGTCCGAATTGGTCGCTGTCTTCCGGGAGGAATTGTTGGTTGTGGAGAGAGGGGGCGGCTCGATCTCTGAAGGCATTTTCACGATCACCATGTTAGGGGGCGGGAAGGTGCACCATCGCTGCAGGTGCTTCCACACCGGGTGAACTGGCCCGATGCCAGAAACGCTTAGCAGAGCTGGAGCAGGTGCGGGGCGTCCTCCCAGCAGGGAATATTCTGCTGAAAGGTCCACAGACAGGACCCAATGAGTTGTTTGGGTGTTTGTTTTCCCGAACTCACAGGCTAAGAGAGAGGATGTTAATACGGAACTATCGTTCAGGATGCTGCCTAATTGCACACAATTGCACACATATGGCCCAAGTTGCTTACTTTTCCATATCATATACAAAAGACACTTCATAGACATGCACGCCCTAGAATCTATAATATATATATATAGTTATATACCAGTCCAATCTTGGCTTTTTGAGAGGCATGGAAGACGGCTCCCTCTTCAAGATTGACTCATACAGCAATTGCACAGCCCCCAAATCCACCTCACCAACAGACGACCCTTGTCCACCGGTTGGATGGTTGGATGGAAGATGTGGATCGAAGAGAATCCTAAGCTTTTCATCGGAAATGACTCCTTTTCAACTGAAGCTTGAGCTAAACCTACTTCAATAAGAAGACTCAGAACCCATGGCCCTCCCTGGGCCAGCTGGGTTTCGACACCTTATTTGATCACCAGCAGGTTTCGGTTTCCTTAGACCACCGCTCTCGAGGTTTGCAGCCGCCAAGAGGCGGAGCTGGCGGAGGAGCGCGTTGATCGGCAAGCCGGCTGGAAGTTTTGTGAGGTCATGGGGCGACTCTTGTCGCCAAAAGAGATCCGAAACGGAACCATGTTGAACACATCCACTCGTTTGAGGGGTGCAAAATGGCAGCATGCTGTGAGAAGCTCCGCAAGTGGCCCAAGAAACGCTTCAACAGGCCACGTGAATGGCCCCCATCCGCTGGGCAGGAGCGCCGTGCACGTGAGCGATGCCATTTGGAGGCGACGGTGCGTGCGACGTGCGATGTGTGTGTGTGTGTGTGCAGGTGCCTTATACCATTGTTGAACTCATTCCTAGATGCCGAATCTACGAAACCATAGTCACTGGTCCAAGCTCGGATTGGAAAGTATCCAACGTTTGGGAAGAGTTCACCTCACAGTGAGTTCAATTAGATCGTCGGACATTTGAATCCTGGTGAGAGGAGCCGTTTAAATGCTTTATCATGTTTTTTTTTGCATTTCTGCTGCTTTAGAAGTGGAGCAGTTTCTCGGTTGCTTCTCCTTCTTTAAAACGTGTTTTTAGACATTGAAGATGCCGAACGAGGCGTTTAAAACGAGGTCAACACCTCGCCCACCCTTTGCTTCGAATGGCACACTACCCCGGCCGCAGGCGGTCAAATCGGGCGAAAAGCTACGCTTAGCCAGGCAGTGCCGTGTTGCAGTGCCGTTGTCCGCATTCGTCAACAGCATCAGCTTGCGTTGAGCTGTTCCTTCTTGAAATAAAAATTGTTTGAAACCGCAGGGCTTGAACGGGAGAAGATGTTCTTTGCGGCGTGCTATGTGTTAGTCACATAGCAGATGAAGTCGACATGTTGGGGCGGTGTTAAGCACTCAACATGCATGTGTGGTATCACGCACTTGCAGCCACTTGCCGGGTGTTTGGCGGGTCTTTGGCAACAGCTGAAGCACCTGGTAGCAGATTGAAAGCTGTTCAGTTCAGCTCAACAAACTCACCCACCCACGCACGCATGCACGCACGCGCGCAGAGAACGATCGCGAGTTGAGACAGAGAGAGAGAGAGAGAGAAAAGAAAAGATCAAGGGGAATCTCACTCCCTTCAGGTACTTTCGGGAAAAGCCCCTTGAGAGTCCACGAGGCCATACGGTGCTGTAGGGTCCAAGTAACGGTCTCATGTTGCGACATGCAGGGCGCAGGGGGCGCAGATGAAGGAACGGGTGAAGTCGCTGGAAGAAGCTGAGCTACTTGGCAAATGCTGAATGATGCCATCAATAGGTGTGAGTCAAACTAAAGCCACCCACAAGTTCCGATAAGTATTAATATTCATTATAAATAAATATATGAAGCCCTTCAAGAATGATAGGGAACTCGGCTGTTGATTTATACTTCTGGCATTTGCTTCAATTGAATCACCAAGCGGGTCCCAGCTTTGAATCACCAGCTGCCACTGCATCGCACGCTTTTCGGCTGAGGCTCCGCTATCCTTCGCGCTTCCCCCCGCGCTCCATCAAGAACCTCCGCCTGGGCTCCGCGCGCAGCGCCAGCCTCCCTGCTGAGCCCAGGGCGCGTGGCACTGGGCATCGTGCACAGGGCGTGCCATGGGAGCCGCGGACGGCAGGAAGGGCAGAGAGGCAGGTGAATGAGCCAGTGGCAAAGGAGGCCAGGTGGTCATGGGAAGAGCAGCCCGGAGTCTCAGCTGGTCATGGCATGAACCAACTCAAAAGTCAATGGTGCAATCACTGCTGACTGCAATCCGACTGAGTCACATGGAAGCGGAAAATTGTTTCTTGCCTCAACCAAGTTGGAGCACATCCCAAACTCTTTGAAGTCAAAGCCACTTACTTCGTGGTTGAGGTCCTATTGCACACTAAGGCCTCGTGCTGCCTTGCCCCAAGCTGAACCACAGGTGGGGTGGGTGGAACCACTGAACCACATGGGCAGATATGAGCAGGGAACTGGCAGGGAACCTAATGCAGTGGGTGGGGAACGGTTCTGTTACTGGTGATGCTGCGGACCACACAGACTTCCCGGTTTCTTTGGCTTCGGGTTCAGTTGGGTTCGCTGTTCTCGGCGCCAGGACTCGGGACTAGCGGCGATGCTGCCGAAGGCGGCGACCGTGTTTCCGGACGTTCCGGGAGATCACAACGGTGAAATCATTCGACTTTGGAACGGGCAGCTGCTGAAACGGCTTTGGTGCATCAAGTTGCTTAGGACTTTGGATTACTTGTTTGGTGTTTGGGGAATTTCCAATTCCTGCTTTTCAGGTGTTTGCTTTGCATCCAGGTGTTTGGTGTTTGGGTCACATACGGCTCAACAGCTGACCAAGTTTGTGAGAAAGTATGGCTCAACAGCTGACCAAGTTTGTGAGAAAGCATGGTCCAACAGCTGACCAAGCTTGTGAGAAAGCATGGTCCAACAGCTGACCAAGTTTGTGAGAAAGCATGGTCCAACAATTGACCAACTTTGTGAGAAAACAAAGTTAAACCACTGACCAAGCTTGTGAGAAAGAAAACTGCAATGGGTGTATCATATTCAGCTCAAACACGCTACACACACACATGGTTTAACTTTTTGACTGCTCTACGATCTATGAGTTACTCTCCTTAAGCAGTAACCATATTCTTTTAAAGCCAGGGGCATCCGTCCGTGAGATTCCGTGAGTCATCGGTCATGGGCATTGCTCAAAACATCGCCCGCTTGGCAGTTTTTTTTTCAAACGCGATCAGATCTTCGCAAGACATCAACCTAACAGTGTCCATGTGTCTCATGAGCCATGTGTCCGATTTGCTTTTGAACATGTGTCTCATGAGCCCCGCAGCCCTGCCATCTTTGTTTGTAAATCATGTTTTGCCATAGGTTGGAACATAGAATGCTTCAAACACCAATCCACTGAGTGTAGACGACGGCCCGTTCACTCTTTCACTCATGGTCGTTCTTCGTTCTTCGGCCCGATGGCCTGCAGAGGCACTTCGATCATGGCACCATGATGGCACAGCAAAGCAATATCAACCAATGGTCAAAAACTGGTGTTCCAACTTGTTGGCTTGTTGATTGCAAAGTGCATCAAATCCAATGGAACCCATACTCTCAACTTGCCGTCAGGCTGTGATGCAAACATGGGTACTACGCCCTGGCCTCAAACATTCACGTCTTTGCATTCCAGGCACCTTTCAGAAGGTTTGCAAGCGGATTTGCTAGGAAGGGGTGCATGATGGTGCATGGACTAGTCGAATAATCCCTGGATCAGAGCCTGATCTGAGGCCATCTTCATTATCTTCTTTTGACTTTAAGGCCTGTCAGTGTTGTTGATGATCGTTGGGCATGGGGAGCCTAAGGGATAGAATGGGATAGATGTCCTGAGCATGTTGTTCCTTCTTGTTTTTGTTTCAAAGTACTACACTGATTTTTCAACCACAAAAAGCCGGGTCGAAGCTGCTGATTCAAGGCAGCCTGCAGGCTTAATTTCCAGCCACACGGAACTCAAGCGTTTTGATAGCTTGATCTCGAATGTCAAAAACTTGAACCAGGGCGTGCCACTTGATGGCCTTTGCTGTGTCTTCCATGTAAACCTCATGGCTTTTCACAATATAACGAAGTTCTTCATTCCAGGTGACGTGGTTGTCAGAAGTCATCAAAACCCGGGTGTGGTACACCCAGCGCAAGATCTCACACAGAGCAAAGTCATCACCATCATCGATATCTGACATGGGTGAGAAGGGGCCCGAATCGACTCTGTACTCATACATATTCACTGGAAGTTGGTCCCAAGGCCAAGCAACACCTAAGTTTGGTGATAATGTTGTTTCATTGTCTTTAAGCAAAAACAACACCGATAAATGAGAGCGCGACCCATCACATCCTTCACCCGATCATTGTTGACGCCATTGGCAGCCATGACTTTGCGTTCACACGATCTGTGGGTTCGAAGCTGGATCTTGGAAAGAAAGAAAACAGCCGCTGAACTGTTCGTTTGAACAAGCACAACATGCATTTCCTTTGACACACACACACAGCATGTTTTCCTTCCAGGATGGTCATCGAAGTCCGGTGCCACAGCGAGCCCCGACAGAGAGGGGCGGTCAGGATCAGCTGAACATTTTCACTAGCTGACACTTTCAAAAGCTGGTCACCCTGCACACCGCCCTCAGAAACTCTCAGAGCTGTGCACCACCCTGCACACCATCAACGGAGTGACGAATGAGAAGGGGTGATGGTGTTGAGACAAATTCCAAAGACATCTCGAAAGACAAACTTGAGACGCCTATTCCACATCTTCAGCAGCCTCATCAGCTTCCCCGGGTTCCTCCTCTTCCCCTTCGAAATCCCCATCCAAGTTCTCGGTTGCCGGGTCAGAGGCCGCTTCGTCCTTGGTCTCCTCAGCCTTTTTGTTTAGAGCCTCGCGGACCATCGTCTCCTGAGAGCATGTGAAAGATGTTTGAAAGCGTTTGATAGATGTTTGAGAGATGATAGTTTGAGCATTATAGCTACTTTCACTCATGCAAACAAAAGACCTTTAGCGACTCGGCAGCTTCGATGTTGCCCGAAGTTCGCACCAATTCAGCACGCATGGCAGTCTTAGAAGCAAACGTTCAGATCCATGTTTCAACATTGTTCCAACCATGTTTTTAGAAGCCACATGAAGATCTGATGCCGACAAATGGCCGCAATCTCAGACAATACTTCAGGTGAGATCCCATCCACGGGCTTCAACTCAGTTGCCATTGCTTGAAAAAGGATTGACAACTGGCGTCAGAACAAAACTTGTTTGAGAACTGGCTGCTGTATGAAGTGATACTTCTTCTTCCACTAAACGTTTTCTGCAACGAATGCTGCTGAAGCACGCGAAGCTTCTCTTGGCCGTTGATTTTGAATCCATAGATGCCAGTCTTATACAAGCCTTTGCCAATGGTCACCTTCTCATCCTTCCCAGGCTCACGGGAAGCAGCTGGCCTTTTCAAGGCAGGGGTGGAACCCGATGCTGTTGCAGGTCGTTTCTTCGGACTAGATGCACCTGAATCCACACGTGAGGTCGCAGGCTTCAGAGACTTGGGCTTTGGTTGAGTCTTAGCTTTCGGTACAGCCTGCGGATCCCCAGTCTTTGACAGACCCTGGTTAGCGCCATCATCAGACAACTCATCCACAGGTTGCAAAACCATGGCAGCACAAAGAGCTAGGAATCCGGCCATGTGACGCTAGTTCATTGAACCCAAGCTGTTACAAACTTCATCCATGAAAACTTATTCTCACTGGGATTTGTTCTTACCAATGCCTGCAATCCTTGCAGGAAGAGAGTTTGGACGAGCGGGCGCCTCAAATAGACTTTTGCCGACAGAAAGCGCTTAGTTTCAAGGCATAGGTTCACTCCCAGGCCGTTTCCAAAATCAGTGTGCAAGAGCAGCCAGGACAGATAATTTGCTTTAAAGCATTTTATATAAAGCTAACCTTGGAGAATCCACAGTGAGCCTGTCCACCCATGGCTAGCACAACTTGTTACCCCAAAAACACAGCTAGAGCTGCCAGGTTCACGGTTTCAGCCCAGCTTGACAGCATGTCCATCTTTGATAGACGCCGTACCCAAAAGATAGTACTTGGGCTTCAGCGGAGTCAGCACTGCTGGCACAGACTCATCAACCTTCACCTGAGGCAAAGGGCGATTTTGCTGGCGAGCAGGGGAACACAGCTCGGTTGAAGAAGGTTGGACTGCTTCATGATAAAGCGTCTACAAAGTACTCAGCATTCATCACCATGTTTTAAACAATGATTTCTGTTGTTTGAGTTGTTTGCGTTTGACTCCACCATGCCTCCCAAACGATGCTGGCATTCTTTCCCCGAGGCAGCTGCGAGAGTCGCCCATTGAATAACGCACCCAGCTGGGGTGCCCGGAACTTGTTCACATTGTGTTGCTCCTTGACCAGGTCCTTGCCCTTAAATGCATTGACCATGGTGCTCGGGGTGACGACGTAGCGGTACTGCAGGGATCGATTTGTCCCATCAGTGGACACCTGAAGAGAGAGACAGAGAGAGAGAGAGAGAGAGAGATAAGGGTTTTCACAACATTCAAACTAGGATAAACTAGGAATGATCCGGTTTGCATATTCAGATGTTGTCATTCCTGTTTGATGCTGCAATCCCCGCCTGTGGTCTCAAGCTGTGGTCAATCACGCGTACTTCTGTGACGCCACGTTGCTTCGTGACATCGCACAAGATGTCTGCCAACGATGTCAGCTTCTTGTCCACGGACAGAAGAGTTGCATCATGTTTCACGATCCAGGGTAGGTGGCCATCAACGCATTCCCCATCTCCTGTTCAGTGCAATTTGTAACGGACACTCCTAAACCACTTGAAGGTGAACTCACCTTTGAGGAACAAATCACTCCTGCTGGCACTTCCACGAAATTGCCAGTGTTGAATCCGAACAACTCTCCGGCAGGAATATCCAAGTCGGACCCACTCTGATTGTGAAAGTTGTCGGATCCAAGGCACACGTGGACGCCTGGAACTCTGCCAAGGTCTGCTGAAGCGACCAACCTCGATTTGGTCAAGGGGATCTCGGGCAAGGGGATCTCGGTTGGTGAGGTTGCGCAGTGATGTTAACAAGAAACTGATGTCAAAGTGTGATGTTACAAGCCTAGCCACGTTGTGGAACTCTCGAATGCACTGGTAGTCACAGCAGTCAAAGCAAGCTTCGAGCGCACATTGGGGGGTCCATCACCATTCCATTCTGGGTTTGCCAAGGTCCGAGTCTCGGTGGCTGGCGTGGCACTGCTTGAAGGCCTGGTCGCTCCTCCATGAAAAGATTTCACAGCCTGGACAATCTCGGTGTCATCATTGATGCGTGCCATGAGATCCTTGAGATTGGGATGCCCTGCGAATTTTTGCTGCACCATATCCGGCAGCCTTAGAACCAGACCGTCATCAAAACTTTTGCGTACAACATTTGCATATATATATATATATATATCAAAACTATCGACGCATATCGACACTGATTGACAGAAGAACAGACAACCTAGAGACTAACGCGTGCAAAGAGCTTGATTTCCCCTTCCACGATTGCCAAGCACTCCAGGGTGGGGAGCTCCCTGTGAAAGGGGCTCGAGGCACGGGACTTGGGGCCGGCCTTGTCAGACTTGTCCCAGAAGCCAGAGAGCGCTTTTCCAGCCAATGCATCACAGGATGTTGAAAGATCCTTTGCATTATCATCATGATAGACACCCAAGAATCGAACATTAAGGCTGGAGTCCTCATCCAGCAGAAAGGCTTGCTGAATCTCCCAGCACGCCAAAGACCATTCTGCGAACCTCCCAAAATTTGTCAAACGCCCATGGACACCAATTTGGCTAGAAGCTTCAAAGGACTGGCAGGCCTCGAAGGCAGCAAGTCGACCACCAACAGATTTTGTGGTTCCTTGGCCACTCCGCTGATGAGCCGCTTTATGATATTCACCGTGGCGCCCACTCCTCTTTGCTGCACCTAGGATTCAACTTTGCTTCACCTAGGATACGATGAAAAGTCAAGAACGGTTTGCTTTTCTTACATCGAAGCGCAAGCTAGGAACTCTCCAATGAGGGGCCAGGGCATTGTCCGGGTCAGGGTTCTGCAATTCCCCAACTCTGGATCGTTCAACGTCGGTGATTGACCCCAACAGGGCCTTGCTCCGGGCAAAGACTGTGGATGTAGATGAGCACATAGCCGCAAGGCCTGGGACCGGACATGACTCTTTTGTTCAGTTTACACTTTCCTGACGACTGCTGGTACATGCATGTTGTGCGTCAAAAGGGCATTGCTGTGACTTCTTTCTTTTGTCTCCTCCATGCTGGGAGTCTGTGAAGTGGAGACTGATCTCATACACATCCATGCACCTCAGAGCCACTTGGGGTATGACATATCTTGTTCAATGCCAACGCTTTACCTAATTCCAAATGAGACCAGGCACCCCCCCACTTTATCTTCTAGAAGTCTCCGGTTCTTGAGCACTGCCTCTCGCTTCGTTGAGGTGTGCATTTGCGGAAGACTGGTGATGGTCTGGGAGATGCTGATTGCCTCGTCAACTGATAGCTGACCTGGGCCGTCCCCATTTGAAATGACTCTTTCTAAGTTCCTGCCGGTGCATCACCACCAACTGTTTTGAGACTGCTTTGCACTGATATATGTTGTTTGGCAAGGTGCGGGATGGCCACAATGTGCAATCACAGATCAAAAGTGTCAACCTTAGTCAACGAAGTTTAGCCAAATAAAGCCTGGTCAACAATGATGCATTGCCGTACTTACAACCGCTTCTCGACTATATAGTTGCAAGTTGAGGGACGCTTCAGGACCCATGTCTTGCTGCATACTCACGATCTTCGAATGAGAGAGCACAAGCGAAGAGACATGAATGTTGGTGTGCTGATCTTTCGTGAAGAGGTGGAGCCAATCCTTGCCTCTCATGTAGCGATCATTGATGTGCTTGTAGTCCAGCGCACCCTAGACCGGATTTGGGGAGAGAACGTGTTTGAAACTCACAGCACATGTGTTCAAAAAGTGTTTCACCTAACATGTTCTATTCTATGCCATTCATTGACACACCTGCTGTTGGGCGTAGAGATGGAACTCCTTCTGCCAATCTTTGAGCTTCATCATGTCGGCATCGACTTGCAGCTGGCACTGTTGCCATGTCGTCTGGAGCAACTGTTGAGAAAGCCTGACAGAAATTCTGCGAAGTTCAGCAGTTCAGCACATTAATCTGTGTGTTGGCCACATTTTTTATCCGGGAAGCTCTTTTGCTTTGGAGCGGCACTCGTCCTCCACCTGTAAAAACACAAGAGAGCCATTGATGTCACGGTAAATGGGTGTAGATGATATGAATATCCAGGCCTGGTTTTGGTAGCGCTGGAGATGAGAACTAAAAATAGACACCTTTGACAACGTAGCTGGGGGAACCGATTGTTCCAGCATCAACTGGAGGTCTGCATCCCCATGTCTCAGCTCGAACCTCAGAGAAAGTCACATTGATTCTAGAGCCATTGGGTTCTTGATGATTCTACCTTTTTGTCAGCTGGGAAACGTTTTGTGGATTTCCACCAGGCAGGTGTCCGCAAAGGTGGATGGGACAGCAGCCATAAATTGATCCAAGCAAGCGAGAAAAGCTCCACATGAACGCTGCATCGTCTCCTTGGTTCGATTTCAATCTTGCACTGATCATTGAGGCTCGACATGCCCCATGACCGTGTCCGGACCCAAGATTAGAGTCAGTCTTACATTGAGTTGAGATTCAACCTCTTTCTGGTTCCATGGACGGCGCTGCTTGACTGGAAGCGCCACCCAGTCCTTTTCAATCCTGTTGACCAAAAGTCGCAGCAGCGGAACCGTGTTTGTCAGCTCGGCTTTCCATGGAATCCAAATTCCTGTCGCTGAGCAGTGTCCACTGTTGAACACGTTCGAGCTCACCGAGTCGTGCGTTAGGAAGCGTGGCATGCCATATTTCCTGGAGAATCAAATCATGATTGAATTTTCATAAACTATCATCAACTCGCACAAAAACAACATTACAGGGAACTCTAGTTGACAGTGACGTTCCGACGAGCCTGGCCTCACACAAACAGTGAGCGCCTCCTTAATTTCCAAAGGAATCCTCCGCAGGAGGTTTGCGGCAGCAGCTGATTCCTGTTTGCCTAATGAGTAGGCGGCGGCAAATGAAGCAATGCTTTCATGCGCCTGGAACGAGAGCCAAGTTCATTGATACGCACTAACTGCTATATACTGCTATGTTTGATGGTGTCTCATGCAATGAAGATCACATCAGGCGGCCTCGAGGCATTGGATACTGTGCTCAGGCGTCAGGCCCCCTCGGACTTGCATCTCGAGCTGGTGCACAAGGTTGAAGCAATTAGGCTTGCGTCGGATCGTGGATCCAAGCGTGCAGCCTGCCAGATCACCCTCACAACAAACACACACATAGCATGCTTTGGATACAGAATTGATCGGGCACCTCTGTTGGTGTTGATGAGCTGAGTCAAGTCTGCCGTGGTCACCGTAGCGTGGATTGTAGAGAAGGTCCTTACAAACAGGCTGATGGTCCGTGGTGACTGTAGAGAAGGTCCGACAAGTGCACACAATCACTGACATCAAGGGTTGCTGGCAAGTGACGCTTTGACGTTATCTGGCATGGCCTGGATCAAAAAGACTTCAGAAAATGTGCGCAGTGAGAAATTTGACAGAATAAGCACTGATCACTACAAGTATTTCCGAACTGCCTCGATCAAGGACGAGTCCATGAAGCCCGCAAGACATACGGCCAGGAATGACACGCTCCTGTTCCAACCTTTGACCATAAAGGTGCATCCAGGCCCCGCAAGATCTCCTTCATATCCGATGTCCTCCTTGGACACCTTGTGCATTGGCACCTCCAGCCAACTGCTGTGCACCATTGTCACGCAAACCTTCTCCACTCCGGGGAGGTTGGCATCAGTGAGCATGCCGTTGAGGAGTATCATCTGGCAGAGCGAATGTTGCACGTCCTTGCAGCTTCCGAAGCTGGCACTCAAACACGCCGAATCTCCGCAACGCAAAAGCACAATGCACAACTCAGTCAAATGACGGTGTCTGACGTTCCGCGTAGACCAAAGTCGCTTCTGTGAGTCAGTTGCCAGGGCCGAAGCAGTGCGCCCCCAACATGTCGAAGATCATCCAATGCCGCGTACTTCCTCATTTGCAGCAATCAAGATATGAACAGCGCAGGGTATCATTATGTATCATTGTAGGGATCCTCTCAGGTTTGCACTCACCAGGTTTTGCAGGAAAGGTTGTATCCAGGAACTTGTAAAAGCCCGCTGCGTTCGCCTGATCGCAAACATCGAGGTAGATTCAAAGCATAAAAAGGAGTTTGTATGTACATGTATGTACATATGAATGTATGATGATGTATGTATGTATGTATGTATCTGTCTATCTATCCCTGTATGAATTTATGTTTCTTTTGACATGCCACCCCAATGCCATAGAACAAAACTGTCCGGCCTCATCGGACAAGAATTCAGTCAAGACAGTGTCCAGTGTTTTTTGCGCATCAAGGACGTTCCTTTTCCTGGGCTGCAACACTATGATTGTCTAGATCCGAAAATTGTATGAATGACATGTACATTCCAAGTACATTCAAAGCGGCATCCATGATTCAAAGATCCCCATGTGTGGAAGGGCTAATGCATCAGCTGGAACTCCGGGTAGCTCACTCCCCTTAGCTCGCTGACGTCGCCCTCCGTGCGAAGCATCTGAAGGTCGCTTGCCCTTTGGAGGCATCGCAGGGCCTGGCAGCCGAGGCACACAAGGTTTAAAAAGAACTGCAGTGCATGGAAAGCCTAGGTTTTTGTGAAGAGATAGATTGCAATTTCGATTTGTTCCATTACGCACAGCTATTCCTTCTGGAAAGTCCCTGGTGCTGTGGAGACAACCCATGCTCGGAGCCATAGCTCCAAAGATCACCCGCGGGCATCGATTCTGTATAGGACTTAATCTCTTCAGAAAACACACTGCTTGTGGAAGCAGTCCATTCGTGAAGAAAGACGACAGGTTTCTTCACAAAATCCATTGGGATCCACCAAAATCAATGCCGCACACAACCCATAGTGCTGGAGGATCATGGCAATCTGAGCTGCACCATACATTTTGTGAATAATGACGACAGCTTTCTTCACAAAACCGGTTGTGTTTGTAACCAGGAGATTTGTTTACAACAGCTCTTCACAAAACCAAAGTTGGGTGAGGGTTCCATTCACAGAGCTAATCCAAGAATCCCCACTTGGCATCCACTCCCACATGGAATTCAAGTTTACTGGGTGAGAAACTATAATCCACTTATAAGATCAAAGCTAGCAAAAAGGGTTCTTCACAAAACGAATGTGCGGGGCTACCGTTCTTCAGAAAACTCTATGTTGATTCCGGTAAACAGCTCAGCCCCCAGACATTCCCCTATCGGTGAGACATGGCATCGGCCACACTGCTGATGGCTTCCTGCATAGGTACGCCGGACTTCCACAGCTGGGCTGCTGCGGAATAGAGGACCTGATTCCGCCTTGCTTCACGATACCGTTCTGCTTCAGCTCTCTGCGGGCGTTGTCTCACGAGTCGCAAGGCATTGGGGGCCTCAGCAAGTCATGGGGTATTTTGGGGGTGACACCTGTGTCGCGTTTCGGTTGCCAAGAACGTTTAGCTCACAGTCTGAGTTTTAGACTGCCTCAAAGTCTCTGCCCCTATATCTCACAGCCGCTTGCACACCAGGACCAACGGCTGGTCCACGATATGGCAGGGCCCTTGGAAGAAAGCCGTTCTTCGACTTTGCGAGTGAGTGTGCGGTGCAAGACCCTGTAGCAGGAACACTGGAACTTGAGGGTTTCAACATGCATGGTTGTTAGGATTCTGACCAGCTCACATCCATCAATGGCTCGTGAGAGACCACCCCATTGGAAATATTTTCCAATTCTTGGGCCGCTGAGTGCATCTCGAACGGATACTCACCTTGCAGTTTGGTTCGTTCCATCATGAAGGAAAGCTGGAAAAAACATGAAAAACCAAAGAGTACTGAAACACATTCAAGCAATTCACGGAATCCAGCAGAATTGTTTTCTGAGGCTAAAGCGCATCATCGCGGCATACTTTTTGAACGCCTTGGCCTCCTCTTGGCTTGTGGTCTTGGGCTCAATGAAGACTGCCAGGAAGCATGCATCCATATGAACACACCAAATTGAAGCATGACACTTTATATTGGAAAAAAGTTGAAGGCTTAATCATTTGCTTCATCATACGGAGCCTGGTGGAGAGCCAACGCACGATTGGGCCACGTCATAGGGTAAGAACAATACCATATGTTCACTCCAATGCACATCGCTCATAAACCTCTTCGTCCTAGAAGGACAGCAATGCCGAAATGGACATAATTCCCCTGTGGTGTCCGTGTCACAGTCCTTAGGATCACATCCGACGGATGAGGTGTGTACGACACCTTCTTCCATTTCGTGTCATCGACGCTGGCCCGTGGCACGCCTAGCGCATGCGGCGTAATGTATACCAATGCACGGCGGAAGGCATAACAAAAAGCATACACACATCCAATCTTGATTGACATGTACCACACCTATGTCCCCAATCCGATCAAATCGAAAAAGATGCGGGGCACCGGGGCCGCCGCATCCTGTGAGATGGGCGTGGTCGAACTGGTCTGAAAAGAATAACTTCCTAGGTTGCTCAAAGATGAAGAGGACACTGACAAAAGGACAAGAGGACAAGAGGAGTCTACCACTTACTGTGAGGTTCAAGAGTCCAATCCCTGTACTGTGTGATCAGGTTGACCATTCGATGTCGCTGCTCGAGAGGGCGCCGTTGCCTGTCGGAAAACCACTCTTGTAGACACTGACGGAAGCTGTCAGGGGTCCAAAGTTCCTGATGCGACGCTAGCCATGCCCGGAGTAACGCAAACATAGCGTCAACGTCCTCATGCGAGTGACCGCTCGAGAGGAAGCCACACTCGCCAGCTTTGATCTTGGACATTGCTGTCCAGTACGCAAGGGCACGGAAGCTTGTATTGTTTTTGAGCTCTTTCGTGCAGTTGTCTGCTTGAATGTGGATGACGGCATAGCGAAGGTCAACCCGTGTAGAGAGCACACTCAAACCATTGCTCAAAATCTCACACGTTCTGCTTGAGTTTGAGGACACGTTGTGCGGAGATAGGTTCACAGTTACAAGGTGACCGTGGAATATCAAGCTGGTAGAGGTCAGTCTCGGTCGGTTGAAGGATGCGAAGTCCTTACTGGACATGTTTTTGCTCCTCGGCCACGAATGCTTCTGGGCATCCATACTATCGATGATCCCCGTGATGCAGTAGGTGAAGGGGTGGTTGGCTTGCAAACGTGACTGAGCCCTCAAATCCCAGTAGGACTGACGGTCGCGATGCTGGCGTGCAAGGTGTTTTTGCAACAAAGCCTCCTGTGTTCGCCTAGCAGCCGGACACTGTCCGAGTTTCTTCAGTATGAGCCGATGTCGGATACATTGTGAACACTTGCTGTGGTGCTTGGCAAACCTTATACGCAATCGATCATCAAAATCATCTTGCCACACCTAGCACGTTGGCAGTTTCAACGCTTCAAACATAGGATACTGGTTCATTATGGTTCATTACTTACGTTCAGTCGCTAGTGGAAAAAAGTCCAGACTAGACTAGACAAGGCACAGAAGTAAAAAGTTTTTTGCTGACTTTGATCTCTGGCAGCGCTGCGATGCACTGAAGGTGGTAATCGTTTATGGATGCTGGCGGGAGATGTTTGATTCTTGTTCGATCCATCTCACGATCACGCCGATTGTCGCCTTGCCTGGGCCGCTTGTTGCTGTTCAGGCCATCAGGGATGAACTCCGCTGTTTCCAGGTAGAGTTTGGTGAGGAAGCCATGCACTTTTGAGCGTGCTTCTGAAGGTGGTTTCTTACCTTTGGGGATGTAGCGTGCATCGTATGGCGGTAATGCGAGACCTGATCGACTAGCTCGGCTCATACGAGCAAAGCGGCCTTGGCCGATACCCATAAGCTTTCTGAAACCACTGTTGCACAGTAAGCACCCCTCGTAAGACAAATGGCGGATGCCTCTGCAAGCAGAGTCGGTGGTCTTCCGGATGAGGTCAAACACCTGGAAATGGAATCTGGAAAATGGAAAATGGGAATGGGTGAGAAGCTGATGGCAGAGCGATAGTGATTCACACATACTCTTTGCTTTAGGGGCCAGACGTACTGATCTTTCTCCAACTTCGTCATCTTGTCGAAAAGGTTTCGCAGGTGCAACCATTTTTCCCACAAGGAGTAGTTTTCTCGAAAGGGAAGAAAGCAGCTAAGTGTGCAGCCACATGCTGACATAATCAAATGACGCAGTTTTTGAGGATCAGCTGTGCTTTGCACTAGATGTGGACTCCGCTTTTTGCCAGGTCTCTTGGACCGCTTCAAACCCTTCGCTGGAGGCACAAACGTTGGAACTGTGCTGGGTTTCGAGCACTCGTCATCGCTCAAAACGTCCACTGATTTCAATGGCATAGCACTGACCTCCGCTCAGCTGCAAAACTCATGGGTATCATTTGGTTTGCTCTCGCATCATGATGTCTTTGCTTTTGTTTGACGGGATGCAAGCCTGCCAACTGTCCCCGGGCAGGGTGAACGAGCCTCGTGAGTCACTGGTAGCCCAGAGTGCATGTTGAACGTATTTGCAAAAACTTTTGCTAATCTTTGTTTCTTCAACTTCAAACCCGGGAGCCTCCGATCGGCAGAAGCACAAATAGCAAGCGCGCAAACATTTGATGCTCGCAAGAGAATGATACTGTAAGCCCTCGTGTGTCATGCAAGAAACTCCAAAAAAGGAACTGTGTGGTTTAATGCGGTTTAGATTCAGGTGCCCTTGGCTTTCTTTGGGCAACATCCAAATGAATAGGTTGAAACATGAAACATGAAACTGTGAGCCAAGAACTAG